ATCCCTAGAACATCCCTGAGAGCCCTTAGTACCTCTCACTGAAGACTAGAACCTCCAAAAGGACCCTAAATCTCCAACAGAACTTATTGTGGTTTCTTGTTTGCAACTAAAGCCTCTTAATAAATCTCTTGAACTTCCTCAGTTTCCACTAGAACCACCTAAAGAACAGCTGCTGTACACCCCACTTAGGAAAACCTCTTAAAGAACCCTTTAGAACCTCATCATTGACATTATCATTCCCCAAAAAACCCGTACAGACTACCTGTCAGATGTTTATGACCATCAGAACCGGTCATAGAACCTCTAGACCCGCCTCAGTGGCACCAGCTCCTCTGTAAACTCTTATTGCAACTAGAACCTCCAAAAAGTCACTTGGATGAATGATCCCTAAAATCTCTAAAAGGCCCAGCAGAACCTGTTGAAAGCCTCCTAAACCTTCCCCACCTCACTCTTAAAGAACCTGTAGAACCTCACCAGTGACCACAGGACTCTTATTGGACCTCCAGAGCTTCCTTAGTGACAGCTAGAACCTCTCGGGAACGTCTTTATTGCACAGGTGACTTTCATGTAGGTCATGTGGAACCTCCTCAGCGATCCATGCAGGATCTCTGCTTTGTAGTTTGTGTCTCTACTACCTGTGCAGCCTCCTCGGGTACCACCAGAACCTCTTAAAGAACCCCGACCATCTTCAGATCCTTTAAAAACCAACACATTGTGGCCTCTTCGTTGCCCATCAGAAACCTCTACAGGCCACATAGAACCCTCTCAGTGATCCAGAACATTTCCTACAGGATTTGATTTTCTTGTCGATGTCTAAAACTTCCTAAACTTGAATTTATCACCTGACTGTTAGCGTCTCAGGTTAGCATTTAGCTTCCGGCCCCATCGTCAGCAGCCTGAGGAGACTTGTTGTTGTGACACGGTGACCTGGTCTTTATGTAACACTGATGATGTAACCAGAACAACAAGCTAAAAACAAGCTGGACGTCCAGCAGTTTTACAGCCGCTTATCACTGACAGATAAAACTGTCCAGAAACGGTGGACGGGTTCTGTTGACAGCCTCATGACTGAATGTTCTCTCACCTGTAAACTCACCTGTTCAAACAGGTGTGATGAGCTGCAGCGTAAATACCTGTTTGCTCTGCTGCGTTGTGACTAATAATGACTGAGCGTCTCGTTCTGCTGTGTTTGTGCATCAGGTGAAGGTAAACAAGCCCTTCAGCAGCTACACCTCTAGAACCTCCTGATCTACCTGCAGAACCTCCTAAATGAACTCTACATCCTCCTACAGAACATCTAGAACCTTCTCAGCGACCCCTTCAACACCCAAACTGACTGCAGAACCTCCTCAGTGACCCTGGCAGCCTCCTGAAGGATCTCTGCCTCATTAGTGACCAATAAACTGTTTCTCAACAGCCCCTGAACCCCCTAAAGGATCTCTAGAAGAAGAAAAAGCAAGTAAAAGAAAGAAATCCTAAACTGACTTTAGAACCTAATTAGTTACTGCTGCACCCTTCGACAGGACCTCCTGAACCATTTCAGTAACCTCAAAAATCTCCCAAACTAGCTGTAGAACCTTCAAAGTAACCAGTGCAGCCTCCAAAAAACCCCTAGAGCCTCCTCACTGACGACTAAAATCTCCTGAGGGCTCCATAGAACCTTATCATTGCAACAGTAGATCCTTCTCAAGAGCCTGAAGGACCTCCTGAAGAAACCTTTAATAGTCGACTCAAACCTTCTAAACTAGCTGTGGAACCTTATCAGTGACCACTACAGTCTCTCAAAGGACCTCTAGAACCATCTCAGTGACCTCTAAAACACCTAAGCTACCTCTAGAACCTCCTCAATGGCCACTAAACCCCCTACAGGACATCTAGAACCATCTCAGTGATCAATAAAAATCTCCTTGAGCCCTGTAAAGCCTTATTAGTGACCACTACAGTCTCCTGAAGGACCTCTAGAACCTTCTCTGTGAGCCCTAATATTACTCAAGAAGGCCCACAGAGCCTTCAGTGGACAGTAGAACATCTTCAAGAGCTTGTAGAACCTCCTAAAGCACCTGTAAACCCCTCTGACTAAGTCTTTTGAACGACCTGTCAAAGTTCCTCAGTGGTCACTAGTTCCGCCTCTAGAACCTTCTCTGTGATCTCTAAACCCTCCTGAATGACCCGTAGAACCTCTTCAGTGAACGCTCACCTCTTGAGAACCAACAGAACCTTTTTGAGGATCATTACGACGTCTCACAGAACACAAGAAGATGGACGCTACAACGTTAGAGCCGTAAAACATGGATTCAAGATGCAAAAATGAATCTGAATCAGTTACTCCAGATAATCTGGATTGTCTGGAGGAGTCTGGAGGTAACTGCAGGTATGAAGATCATAATGATCAGCAGGAAGGTGGAACCAGCAGGAAATGCAAACGGAAAGTACAAACCTGTTTAGATTTCACTCAAACTGTCCGACATCTGTGGAAAATCCATCAGGGGCACGTTCTGCACCGAACATTCCCGTCACGGGCTGTAAATGTTTTGGTTTCGTTTTGAAGACCTGCTGCAACTCGTCGGCCCGTTGTGGGAATCGGTGAAGCTGGAAAACGCCACGTCATCACCGGAAGCAACTAAATTTATTCTTCTCACCACCACGAGGTACCAGACTGTGTTTTATCAGCGCGTGATTCATACGACGGCATCATGAAGCAACTCTACGTCAGCTTGTTGTCGTAGATATTTGAGGGATGTTAAAGACAGAAAGGAGCATTTCCAGCCAGGAACGGGACTTCCTGGTTAAATAAAATAAGTTTCTTGAGCAATCAGCATGTCTAGTTGGCTGGTTTGGTATATTTTGGTGATCAGTGAGGAGGTTCTTTGATGTTTTAGATGTTTCAGTGGTCATCGAGGAGGTTCCAGGGTTGTTCAGAAGATTTAAGTAGCAACTGATGATGTTCTGTGTATTTTTTGTGGTCAGTGAGGATGTTGAGCAGGTAGATAAAGAGCTTTAGTGGTCATTTATGGGGTTCTTTGGGTGTTTGAGGTGTTTTTAGTGATCACTGAGAAGGCTGTACGGGTATTCTATGTGTTTTCAATGATCATTAAAGAGGTTCTACAGGTCGGTTCCTTGTTTTTAGCAGTCACTGAGGAGGTCTAACAGGTACTTCAGATGTTCCAGTGGTTATTGAGGAGGTTCCAGGGTTGTTCAGATGATGACGCAATCGATGCTTGGAGATATTTTAGTGGTTTGTGAGGAGGTTCTACGGGTAGGTAAGGAGTTTTAGACATCTTCTGTGAGGTTCATCGGCTGCTTTAGGTGTTCTTAGTGGTTATTTTGGAGGTTCTACTGGTAGTCAAGGAGTTTCGGTGGTCACTGAGGTTTGAGAAGACATCTTGGCAAAAGTAGTGGTCGCTGAGGAGGTCGACATGGAGGAGGTTCCCGGTGTTCAGGTAGCTACAGTGGTCTTTGAGGAGGTTCTTCAGGTAGTTTAGCAGTTTTAATGGTCTTTGGGGAGGTTCTTTTGGTGCTTGTAGTGTTTAATGTGGTCATTTTGGAGGTTCTACTGGTACTCAAGGAGATTCAGTCGTGGTCATTGTGGTTTGAGAGGATGTTTAGGCAGCCGTAACGAAAAATCACTGAAGAGGCTCGTAGGGG